GGTAGGCCTAATAGTGAAAGAAATTGAAATTAATAGCAAAAATGAGGTTTATCTGTGTAATCTGTGGACTTGGTGTCTTCCCATCTCCTATTAGCATAGATACGGAGGTGTCTGTATAATGACAAAGGAAAGCCATCCGCACGTTCCCATAAATCTCCACCACCTGTCGCTGGTTTCCTGGTTCGGCGTCTAAGGACACTTTACTCTTACCAGGTCATTTGCCATCTTTCCCTCCAATTTGCCACAGCTGCAAGGCTTCTGAATCTGAAATGAACATGTTCCCATGCTCCCTGCTTCCTCCTGTGTTCCTCCCAATGCTACCTGCATCTCAGGAGAGCAGCAAACCTTCGCGTCGTGGCAAGATCTTACTGGCCCCAGAGCACCTTTCACATTGGAAACATTCCACAAGTTTACCTCCATCAAAGCAAAACATCTGGGAATATTAAAACACAGACAGATGACCAAAGTAACCAGTGTAAGCTTCCAAAGGGCCCAAACAAGGATCTATTGAGCACTTTGTCTCGGTGACCAGATAAAACAATGTATCGATCATTTTCTAAATTATTGTTTACATCTCACCTGTCCTTGGACAGAACTCTGTAAACACTTGTTAGCCATAGGCCCGAAACTGCCTAAATATTTTTTCTACCTCTTGATAAAACTTATCAAACTACATATCAACTGTGCGCCGTTAAATACATGGATATCACAGAAATCGGTTTTTTTGTTTCTTAAAAATCACTAGCTTTATAAAATTATAACCTGGTTTACGCTAAAAATGAAATTTCTGACACAAATCTCTCTTCCATTTGTCACTGGTTAGTTAAAAGTCCTACTTAATTATAATAATAAAGTTTTCTAGAAATAGCTTCATTAATAAATGATAAACATAATCATTATAACAGCTAGAAAAAGGATAAAGGTAAACGTTAAGTGCTTACTATGCTCTGGGTCTTTTATAATATTAGTTTTGTAATATCTCAGTCAATCCTCATGACCCTGTTACTATCTCCATTGTATACAGTTTGGCGCACTTAGGAGCCATATGCACCCTCCTCCTTATTTATGAACTGAGATGTTTAAGAAAAGTTCAGATGAGACAATGAGAAAAGAAGACCATCCTTCTCCATCACAGAGCTTTTCTCCAATTAGCTGGAAAAAAGTCTTCAGATAAATCTACGAAGCTAGAGAGAGAAAATTATCTTAAAAGGTTAACTAGATGAATAGCCTTCCTTGGAATTTTCTATCCTAGCTGAATTTCACATCTTAGATGAGGCTAATAAGGTTCCCGGGACCCCTCCTCTTAGGGAATCTCAAGCCTCATTGGTCCACACTGACTGAAGCCAACTTACTCTCCCCTCCAGGCAACATATAATAACCCTGGGTTTTGAACTCAGGCCCTCAGTGTTCTCAGTCTTCAAGACCACATGCCATTTACAGACTATTTGCAGAATATGTCTGTGTATGTGATGTGTGTCACCAGGAGGAGATAAAATGAGAAGATAGACCCAGTGGGTAGTAGTTTCAGATATTTTTAGTGGGAGGGCTTCACTTTGCTGTTGTTGTTTCTTAAAAAACAGCCTGTCTGGCATGACTCCATCTCAAATAGAGGTACACTGAGTAGGGAAAGTGAGGTTCAGCAATCTCAAAGGGATCTTGGGAGACGTTTAATCCCACCTCCTTACTTTACAAGTGAGAGAAGAGGCCCAGGGAAGGGAACGGATGCTCCCAAGGTCATATAGGGGAACTGTAGGAAGATGATCCAAAGCCCTCTCTCCCGCTCCTTTGGCGCTCTGGGCTGCCCGCTGCATAATCCCATGCAACCACGTCCAAGCACAGGTCAGCACACCTTCCAAACCCAGATGATGATCTTGCAAGGTGGAAAAGTGTTTGGAAAAAAACACTGTCGCTGTGTTTTTAGCTAACTTTAGATGAAATAACATTAACGTGAAGAATTCCTTACAGAAATTCTGAAGCGTTCCGTTAACATTTCACACTGCCATGGGTGAATGGAAGCCAAAAAAGGTTAAAGGAAAGAAGAATGAAGGAGGAAGCATGTTCCAACAATCAGATTATTCAAAAAGTCCTTCCTGTGTCTTCTGAACCTGTGGCCAGACAGAGGCAGAAGGTGACACTATGTTTCTTCTTTTGCATTTCCAGCCTAACTTTCCTCCCTGAATTTAGTCTACAAAACATATCACATGGCGACAAAACATATCACAGCAGCATTATTCGCTACAGCCAAAATGTGGTAACAAGCCAAACGTCCATCAACAGGTGGCTGGATAAATAGACATGCACACGATGGAATATTACTTAGCTATAAAAAGGAATGAAATTCCTACACATGCTACAGCATGGATGAATGATGAAAATGTAATGCTAAGTGAAATGAGAGAGAAGGAGAGTGAGAAAGAGGTGGGGGAGGGAGAGAGAGAGAATCTAAAATAGGCAATTTCACAATCAAGACAGAAGAGAGACCAGAGGTCATCAGAGCTGAGGGGAGGGGGGAAAGGGGGAGCTATTATATAACAGGTAGAGGGTTTCTGGTTGGGATGATGAAAAATTCAGGAAATGTATAGTGATGATGGTTGTACAACATTATAAATGTTCCTGGTACCCTCAAACTGTACTCTTGGAAGCAGGTTAAAATGGTAATTTCTATATTTATTTTACCACAATTTAAAATATCATATTAAAATGTGGATCATGTCCCTTCATTTCCCAGTTAGAATTCCTACACTTTCTTTTATTCACTCACTGTCATTAAAGCCTACACTTCAAGACGTGCTGCCTACCAATAGTGTCATGGTCAATATGTGTATTTCACACACACAGATAGCCACGATCGCACCACAGCCACTTTGCATCCTGGAGACCCATCCACAAACACATCCATCTTGAAGCCACCCACGCAGTGACTTCAACAAGAGGGCCAATGGCAAGACCAATGCAACCTGTGTTTCCAGAGATACCCGCAACCAAATACCCTGATGCAGAGTCCCAGCTCGACCCTTAAATTCCTCCCCATGGGGGGAACAGGGTGTTTAATACTGTACACTCTACCTATAAGGAAAACTGTATGCACATACCAGGGGACCTTAAGGGATTGCTAACCCAAGCGTGCTCTTCCAGGGCCCATGAACAAAGAGATTTCAGCCCATACATGGCTGTTCGGTGAATTCAGCAACTGCACGTTAAACTGAACAGTGGGTGTCCTTAATGCAAACGCATATAATTAGGAGCTAAATCTTTGTACCTTCACAGGACAAAGGCTATAATAAGCAGGATGTACCACTTGTGACTTCTGAGGAAAGTAGAGCTTTTCATTTTTCCTTTAAAAAATCTATTTCTCATGAGGCAAAGAGCATCTGAGAACAAGAGTCTTTTGAAACAGAAGCAGGGAGGAGGGTGCAGACTCTGAGTTTTGAGTGTTATGGCCACAATCTATCTCCCAGGCCTGAGAGGTGCCAACGGGTACCATTCCACGACCTCTATTCAACTTTAACTTAAAGGTTTTCACAACCGCATCTTATTCTGCGAAAACCTTGGCATGGCCAGGGGCCTGACAACCGAGTCCCAGAAGCTCTTAAAGATCTGAAGAGTTTGTAAAAGAAAAACAACCTCTAGTGATATGTCCCACTGCCAATACACATGGGCGTTTAGTGCAAATAAGCTACCACTTGTAAGACGTCCACTCGACATCACTCCCTGTGTGTCCTAAAGACACATGGCAAGATCACATGAAGATATTTAGAGCCAAACATCTTTTGAATAAGGTTTCGTTCCCAAAGTGCTTAATTAGCAGGAACACTATGCTACAGAACTTCCTTGAATATGCATGCATTTTAACCTCCATGCTATTTTTTCTAAAGCACAAATTCTCTCTCTGGATGGTCAGGAGATCATTGGGCACAGAAAACCAACTATCTTAGGTGTTGATCCACAAAACAAGGTCTGTCTTTCCAGGTAGGTTTTAACTGCCTTACAGGGAGATATTCTGGCTTATGAGGGAGACCATTCTTTGGACTCTACCCTCCACTCGTTTTTGGATGAGCCATGCTCCCATGGCCTAGTTATGGCTGAACTCCTTCCACACTTCCCACCAACCTCTTCTGCTCCCTCACGCCTTCCTCCCCTCCCCCCAATTCCAGCCAACCATGTTTACAAGACACCAGTTAGTAAATCATGATTCAAATGAACCCATCCATTTGCTTGGCAGAAAGTGGCCTCTGGAGTCGCTCCATGTGAACCCATAGGCCACAGTTACATATGGCAGGCCCGCAAAAGCCAACAGGATATGATTTATTTATGACGACCATGTGTGATGCCCAGTTGCAGCAGGCTGTGGCTCCCCTCCCCTGCCTCAATCTGGGATGACCTATCTACTCACTGTGTCCCATTTCAGGTACTGTATTTCCACACTGGGGACACAGAGATGGGCGACCGGCTGGGGGCCGCACACACAGAGGCCCCTAACCCCACTGGCCACATAAGAATCTGTGACCACGCACAAAGTGGGCCAAGTGCAACTTGCTGCAAAGGTTTGCCATGTACAATGGTTTCCAGTGGAGAAGTGGCTGCTGGAATGGCTGACCATGTGGGGCTCATTAAACTGCTGTGTATTTACCCACAAGGAAGGCTGGGATGCCGGCAAAGGGAGCCCCACTCCTCATTTCAGAGATTTCAACTCCCTCCCCCCGCCCCCCACCATTGGCAATGATGCTCCAAAGGTGAATGGCAGATCTGCATCAGAAGGTCCAAACGTGGACTCCAGCTAAAGTGTTGGAAACTTCTGCCTTCCCCGGTCTCCCCCCACTCCCCCCAGTTGTATTTATACTTTGAAAGAAGTTAACATGAAGCAGTAGTCACCTGGGCGTGCTCGATTTTTGACAAGCCTTAGTCACTCTGTACCCAGCAGAACAATTCACATTATAGTCGAAATCCTGTGAAGATTCTGCCACACATGCTAACACTAAAATGCCAGTAGCTCCACTTACCTTCTTTATTAAGCCTCATAACCTCCCTGCTTTTTCCACCCTCTTTTCCAGCCTCTTCTAAATCTACATCTGCAGATGAAAAAGAAAAGGAAAAAAAAAAGAGAATGAGGAAAGAAAAAAAAAGATTAAAAAGGGGGGGAAAAGCCAAAGTCAAGGGGGGCAGGGAGAGTGTTTATTTGCAAACAGATCGATAGAAATACTGTACATGAAAATCTTTCAAAAATTGACAATGCAACATTTTCTCCCAAGTCCGGATTGCCATCTACCTGGCCCAGATAGGTACCAAAAAAACTATGCAACCAGCAACAGAGTAGCCTTTTAAACAGATAACACCGTGGGGCTGTGAAAGCCCACCCCGCGGGCTGCCACGGGGAGCCGGGCACAGACAGACAGACAGACAGTCCTGGCAGCAGGGCCTCTCTCTGTGCATTGATGATCTGTCTCTGTGTGTATTTATTTAGAGAGAGAGGGAGAAGCATGGAGGACACCGGGGGCCACTCTCTCTCTCACACACACACTTTTTCCCAGTGGCTCTAGGTGAATGGAAAGGTTACAGGATAATAAAAGGAGGAGGAGGCGGTGGGGTTCTTACTGTCGGAGCAGTGTAATTTGGCGGCGTCGATCCAGGAGGACCAGGGTTTGCCCAGAAACGCCTCCGGACTGGGCACTTTGCGATCCAGTGTCGCCATTGCTCTTCCTTCTTGTTGCTTTTTCCCTGTTCCTTCGGCAGCAGCAGCCGAGAGACACGGGATTCGAGAACGCTCCGACGTCATCTTCGGAACGTTCCGACATTGAGTGCTCTGAAAGGGGGAGGGAGGGAGGGCCGGGAGGAGGGAGCGGGGAGGCGGCGGAGGAGGGGAGAGCGAGCGAGGAGGAGGAGCCGGAGCCGGCGCTCGGCGCCCGGCGCCCGGGGCCCGCAAGACACGGCCCGGCGGTGCGCGGCCGCCAGAGGCAGCAGAGAGGCGCCTGCAGCTCGCCGCGCGCCCGCCCGCCCGCCGCCTGCCGGCCCGCCCGCCCGGGGAGGGGCCGCGCGCCGGGCCAGCGCCGCGTGCCGGGCCCCGAGGCTGCGGCGCGCGCGGGCGCCGAGATGCTGCTTCGCCGCTGCCGCTGCCGCTGCCGCCGCCGCCGCCGCCGCCGCCGCCTGCGCCCGGCTGCCCGAGCCCCGATCGCAGGGGCCGGGGGCGAACGGGGCGAGGCACGACCCGGGGCCGTAGGCGGGCTGGCCTTTGCAGCGCAGTGGCCTCCAGACGACGGAAAGTTTTTGCATGCAGCCCTTCCAGCGTGTCCTTCCCTCGCCGGCTCCCTGTGGTCCACCGTGAGGCGTCCTCACGACCGAGTGAGGAGGAAGCTGGGCAGGTGTTCCCCTCCCCGCTCCCCGACGAGCACCCCAAGCCAGGAAGGGGACCTTGGTGACCTCTTCGCCCAGCCTCCGCTCCCTTCACCCTTTCTTCTCTGTCACGGTGGACCTTGGACCGTGGAGGATTCCGGGGATGCCTTTGGGAGCTGACCCCAATGGGTAGATGGAAGTGGTTCTAAAAAGGAGGTGAGTTTTGGGCGAGGGTAGTTGCCTACCCATCTCAGTGAGGCTGCGGGACCTGCAAAGCTCAAAACTCAGGGCCGCGGTGCCCCCACATTCCCCGTGCGATGCGTGTCTCGGGCTCTCAGGGAAACCACTGGGTAGACTTTGCTCCAGGATCAGGATAGAGGGAGAGCACCTTCCCTTCTCTCAGAAGATGATGCTCCTGGGCCAAGCCCCTGGAGCAATTTCCAGTGCTCCCTACGGTGGTGGTTCCTGGGTGGCCCGGATTAGCGCCTGCAAACCTATGGCCAGGAATCCGACTCCTGGGAGAATTCACTCCAGGCTTAACTCTGGCCAGTTAGAAAGGAAGCGTTACATTTCCTCTGGATTTGGGATGTTTGATGCTTTAATTGAGATTTCCCCTCTTCTCCCTAGGGGTAGGCAACAAAGGCCTTAAAAGGTCTTCTGGTATCTCTCTGTCTCTTTTTGAATATTTTCATTTACTGGGAATTACCTAAAATATGTGGACATTCCCCCACAGTCGATTTTTCATTTTGCTCCAGTATGCTTTTTTAGTTCTTACCACTCTGCTTCTGCCCCATGGCCGAGGCGCAGTGATTTGAAGTTGCTCTGTACTGATGGAGTTCTGCCCTGGCTATGCCATCCAGTGCCCCTGCACTTGGCAAAGCCAGGGCCATGAAGGAGGAGCTGTGGATTGATCTCCACTTGTGATATTTGTGTGAATGGGCTTAACGTTTTGTCAGATCCAGACAAGTTTGATTTCCTCTGCTGCCTTTGGAAGGGTTTCTGCAATAGGAACCACTAAGTGGCTAAAATGCCAAGGAGTGGAGAATTCTCATTTTAAGGATTCATAGTATTAACAAATATTTAGTATTTATTGACCTCTTATGTGCTAGACACTGTGGTATATCTTTCCAAATATGCATGCATGCATGCATCCATCCATCCATCTATCCATCCATCCATCTTTTCAACAAATATTGCCTGTCATGGACTAGTGTTTTCAACAGCGGAAGACAAATGAGACCTAGCCCTGTGTGGAGATGCAGTCTGGTGGTCTTTGTGGAAGAAGGAAGATGTGACACTTATCAGCCACTTGAGAAAACAAGTACAGTGACTGGGCTGGGGAAGTGAATGGTGTGCTTGCTGAGAGCGGTGCGTGTTCATAGGAGGAACTAAGATCTAGTTTGGAATGACCAGAAAACGTGTCACAGAGAAGATAGGATCTGCTGTGCATCAGGGACATTGAGCAGGACTTATTGTGGTATAGGTGAAGATTGGTCTTGCCGAGCAAAGGACAGTGATGGTAACCGAGGTTTCAAGCTGAGCACAGGCTTGGTGTGTTCGGGGTTAAATGTAGTTTACCCGGGATGGCACGTTATTGTTGGGGGTTGGGATTATTGTCAGGCCTTGTCAAATCGTGGAAGGCACTGAATGGCAACCTAAAGGGTTTGGGTATTTTCTGACAATGGGAAGCCACTGAAGGGTCTTTCTGCGGTGTAAGGGTAAGTAGAAAGTGTGTCTTAGAAAGGCCGTGGTGTCCCAGATATACTGGATAGGGAAGCGGGTTAGAAGTAGTGCTGCAACATTCATGGGGTGGGGAACTTTGGTGGTTCCATGCAGGTGGAGAAGAGGGCACCTCATCCAAGGGTATGATGTATGGCTGGATTTGGGGAGGGAGAGAGCACAGAGGCATAAGTAATTAGGTTCTGGAACATTTTTCCTTTCCCCTCTGCGTTCTGATTTGCCTTCCATATTTGGATTTTTTCCTCTATTCTGTGCAAAGGAGATGTAGTAGGTGGGCTCTAAGATGGCCACAGTGATCCCCACATCCTGGTGTCTATACCCTTGTATGATCCCCTCCCCTTCAGCGTAGGCCAGACCTCGTAATTTGCAGCTAAACAAATAGAATATAGCATAACGGATGGGGTGTCACTTCTGAGGTTAGGTTACAAAAAGACTGTGGCTGGGGCACCTGGGTGACTCAGTCTGTTGAGCATCCGACTTCAGCTCAGGTCATGATCTCACAGTTCATGGGTTCGAGCCCTGCTTCGGGCTCTGTGCTGACAGCTCAGAGCCTGGAGCCTGTTTCAGATTCTGTGTCTCCCTCTCTCTCTGCCCCTCCCCTGCTCACGCTGTCTCTGTCTCTCAGAAATAAACAAAAAACATCAAAAATTAAAAAAAAAAAAAAAGACTGTGGCTTCTGTCTTAGTCACTCTTGCTGTCACTGGCTGGCTTTGAGGAAGACCACTGCCATCTTGTGAGCTGCCCTCTGGGGAGGCACACGTGGCAGGGAAGTGACGGAGGTCTCTGGCCAACAGTCAATGAGGAACTTAGGCTCTTGGTCCAGCAGCCCATGAGGTACTGAGTCCTGTCAGTAGCTGTGTTGAGTGTGTTTGGGAACATATTCTCCAGTCAAGCCCTGAGATGAGAGCACAGCCCTGCCCATGCGTGAGAGAGACCTTGGGGCAGAGGCATCTAATCAAGTCATGCCTGTATTCCTGACCGCCTTAAACTCTGAGATAATTGGTGTTTGGTGTTTTAAGTTGTTAAGTTCTGGGGTGACTTGTTACATAGGAATACATAACTAATACAGAATGGGTTCGGTGTAAAGTGTTTAGTATCATCCATGCCAGCTTTGTGGGACTGATTTACTCTAGTATTTCCTACATACGGAGTTTTAGAATTTACCTTTATCTCTGGGTATTCAGGTTTTTGCTATTTATTTATTTTAATTTTATTTATTTATTTTTAATATGAGAGAGAGCATCCATAAGCAGGGGAGGGACAGGGGAGAGAGAAAGAGAAGGGGGGGAGGAAGAGAGAGAGAATCTTAAGCAGAGTCCACGTTCAGGCTCAGAGCCTGATGTGGGGCTCGATCCCACAACCCTGGGATCACAAGCTGAGCCAAACTGAGGGTCAGAGGCTCAACTGACTGAGCCACCCAGGCGTCCCAAGTGTTTCCTATTTAAACTCAATCACTATTTTATGGAAAGAATTCTACAATGACAAGGTCACGATGTAACTGTAGAAAACAAGTGTTCACCAAGAGCAAAGCTACCACATCGGTGGTCATTACAACCCTGCCGTCCATCCTTGGGGTGTGTGGAGAGTAAAATAAGGAAGGGACTCAAGCCCAGTGGTTGGGAGCTTCCAGAAAATTCTTTCTCCTCTCCTGGGAGCCATTTTCAACCACACAAAAACCCAAAAGTGGCTTATCATCAGGAGGAGTCAGGGTACCTCTGTCTAAGAAGAAATAAGGCAGTGGTTCTATATTTTAACATTAGTTTACTCCCCTAGCTGAGCCTCTCAAGTAGAGATTATTTCTGCACAGAACCCTGAAGCTGGTATGAGAGCCTAAATATCATTCCCTTCTAGCTGGGAGCATTTTCCTTTGTAACATAGGAAAGTATGGACTGGAATCTAAAAGTGGTTTAGCATCTCTACGAAATAGACATTAGATACATTGCCTGTTTAACTGATCATCACAATGCCGTATACATTATTGCATTTAGACTTCCGGAGCATAATTGCGGTTTCCACTCTCAGCCTCATGCAGTCTCTCCACTGACTATAGAGATAATAATACCAACTTTGTGAAACTCTGACCCACCTATGACTTTGTAACTGGATAACATGGCTGTCAATTAAATTATACTACTGGGAGCCAGAGAATGAAGGAAGCATTGCTCATGAAACTACTGGACTTTTATACTTGGCTTTAGATGAAAATTGAGGTCAGTTGGGAATAGTATTTGGGTCCACGTGGTGCATATAGAGTATTATATACGTGTCTATACTTATGTATCAAATATATATATGGCAAATTTATTGCAGACTTGAATTGCTTTTGGTAGTAAAGAGTTGCAAATCTCGTTAGTGGCAACAAGAGTCTTATACATTCTTCACAGGTATAAACTGATCTGCAAAACAGTCATTTAAAACATATTAGTATAATATCGATGTGATAAAATCATCTAGCAAAGGTGTAACACCTTCTTCCCTTTATGATTAATGTTTGGGAAGATAAAAGGGGTGTAAATATTTTTATTGTTTTATTATCTTTCTTAGAAAAATAACAGGGGTTGGTTTAATTGAAAAGGAGACTCTTCCATAGACCCAATAAAGAAATCAGCTCAACAGAGATGACATACCTATTTAATTTGAAAACACCTATAATTTGAATAACACCTGGTTCTGGAGAGATGTGCTTCTAATACGCAGCCTGCATTC